TTTATGTTAACTTTTCACTTAAATGCTACATGGACTGCTGTCTGACATAAACTGAGCAAAATTACTTCATTTGTTAATCCAGGAAAATGCGCTGGTTCCTGCTAATTGGACAACTAAACAATATTGCAGTCAGTTGGAATGACTCCAATTCTATAAAAAGATACAAAATTGAAAAGCTAACCTTAACTTGCTAATAATACAACATACAGTATACACATTAGCCAGCTACGGTGCCTATGTGTAAAGCAAGAAGAAAGCCACATCCGTGTCAGATTTTAGTCCTTTGCATGCTTTTAATGGTCTCCATCTTCAACATGCTAAACTGATATTAACTCTGATTTTGTCTCATTCTTTGTCACCCTCTTTGTGTGCTACAGAACAAAAGGAATGTGTAGGTACACCCCATCCTAGGGTGTACCTACACAGGGAGTCTCCACAGTCTGTCTTTGAAACAAGCCATACTGGTTTGGAAAACGTATTTTATAACCTCAGACCAGTGGGGCGTGGAAGAAGTGTGGTGTGGATTTTAACAACAGTGGGCAAGAAATAAACACAAGGCCTGAAGATAGTGGAGTGGAGGGGTTTAGTACAGCAAGGGAGACAACACTTCTGGACAATTTTTTACTTGATTTATTTGTGCAAATTTTTAGTTAATGCAGCTTTAACTAAAGCTTCTGCAAAAAAAGTAGTTCACACTACAACAAAATATAATACAGAAGAGCTGCATTCCAGCAAACTGCCACTCAACTGAGTTTATTTCAAAGAGTGCCTACTTGTTCACAGGTTATACACAAGCCAAAAAAAGGTGAAATGAACCAAGACACCCCACTATTCATGGTAAAGTGCAAAGAATGTCATCTTTGGTCCTTTAGTCCAGGTGGGGGTATCACGCCAAGCAGGATTAATCAGTTAGCCAGGCAGCGTCTGAAACGCTATACAACAACCTCTGAATATTTGTTAATAAATTGCAATAATCAATATCTATGAATAACTTTTCACAGCTGAGTTGACAGCCCAGTTCCTGGAATACCCCCTGAGACCTAAACTAAACAAATCCCATCTGGGCTTTTCACAAGGACAAAATTGCAAGGAATGTTATAGCTTTGTTGTAAATGAACGACAAACAACTCATTCCTTTTATGGCCCAATATTGTTTGTAGTTTCAGTAGTTAACTACCCAAAAACTACTTGAATCAGTATGAAAATATGAATGTAGTTGAATTACCAGCAAGCTACTGCAACACGTAGTTTAATTGCATGTTGTTCACTACTCCCCAACACTGGTCACAGACTCTGTGTAATTGTAATCAGCATTTTTCTGTATTTTATGACATTTAAAAGCCCAGTTAATGCATTATAGAGTGAACTAATTGTTTATTTATTAACCAGTAGATCTCAGTCTGAGAAGTCTGTCACAACAATATTTATAGGAAGACATAATGACTTCATAACGTCATCAGGCCCTACCTGCAGAGCTGCATCTCAGTAATGTAGCCTGCAGAATTTCCCAAAAATGTGTGACATGCAAAGGGAGTTGGTTGAATTTGAGGAATTGTTGAAGGGGTTTGACAAACCTGTGTGATTCATCATCAGCTAAAATTCCTTTCTCTACGCTCAAATAGCACACCAAGTGCTACTAGAGGCTTTTGAGAGGTGGAGCCCTTCTGCATTTCCTGCTGATTCATCACTGGCATGTGTCTCAGTGGCATTTGGCCTGAAAGCCCCATCTTTGTAGACGAATACAAGTAAGGATGTAGTGAAGTTTGTCCAGAGTGTGTGCAAAGACAAGAGCTGCTGTGTTTGTCTCCTGAGCAATGCGATGCAGTGTTTCTCTGGGCCGTCCCCTCATTGTGTGCATAGCTCGCCAGGACCAGACTTCATGCGCTGTCTGCATTGTGAGCATAGTGTAGTGCACAGGGTCACTGTGGCTGGGCCCCCTTTTGTCTCCGCTGATTGATGATAATTAGACAGTTACTGTATGTACCACTTTCATCAGACCCACTGGTTCACAGCCCGCTCTTGTGCTTAGAATTGGTTATGTCTGAACCCCATGTCATTGGCTTTGCCCTGTCACTCACTGTTGTAGTTGGCCAGTGTACGGACGGGGCCCACATCCACACACATGGTATAATAGATCATTACACTTTGGCTGCCCTCTATTGTTAATGTTTAATCCCTACAAAATCAAGCTTGAAGAAGAAAGTTTAAGTATAATTTTGTAAAATGCACTTTACATTAAAGTGTGCATGTAGTGAAGTGTCAGGCTTCACAGTGTGGGCTAAATTAAATAATACCCTGGGTGTGAACTTATATTGTCATGTTGTATCTACTGTATATTATTTGGAAATCACTTTCCTTTGTCCACCCTGATGTGTATGACAGCAGCACCCAAATTTAGATTCATTTCCAGGGTTGGTTGCTCTACAGAGGAAGACAAGTCACTACAGCAAAGCAGCAGTTGAGAATATTGATTTAAAGCATGGATGTATTCATAAGAACTCTTAAAGTTATGATTTATTAGATTTAAGTATGTGCTTTACAGTAGTTTAAATCCCTTTAGAGACAGAAGTTACTGGTGCTCTGCTAAGCTAATGTTAGGCTAGTGATCTGCTTGGCACCATTAGGTTGGTCTGGATAGCTCTTTTTCCATTAGTGGATTCATCTGCTGCCTTATTTATGTGGGAGAACAAAATCGGTTCACCAAAACTGATATGTTTCGATAACAGGAAACATTATACATTTATACACAAACAAAGGGTTATGTAAAATAAATGTCAAGTTGGTTTCTGGTTGTAATACAATGCATTGTGTTTCCTTTGAATGATGCTTACCGATTGTCTTCCTGTATCTGATAATTGTTTTCTTTGATGCCTTTATAGAGTAGCTGTCTGGGGTGGTGTGCTCAATTAATTTAAAACGGTACCAACATTATTATCTTGCATATAATTTTAATAAACTATGACCAGGATATGAAAATCACTAAAAATGGTCACAGGAAAGAATTAATTTTATTTAAACTGAGGAAACCTACAGAGAGTCCTGAGGTTCATGGTGGTTTTTTTATTTTCTGATCCACTTTCGTGTTCCTTTGCACTGATTTGTTTCACCCAGCGCAGTGCTAGAGCAGCTATGGATCTGCTCTTTGAATTGTACTTGCTCAGTAAAATAAGTGTGGTTGTGTGATTAGTGAAAGCAAACTCAACTTTTCATTTATTTTATTTTGGACATATTGCAATAGGCCTGCTACCTTAGGCTGTGCGCAGTCTTATCACATAGGCACACTCGTCTGTATTGGCTATAAGATATAGGTCTACAGATATGCCCCAAAATAAATGGAATTCTCTAGATCTTAACAAAACAGAGCAGTGCATGAACATAGTGAAAGTATGAAACCAGGACTTGGAGTCCTGTGTGTCCAGGCCTTTCTGTGTTCTGTCATGGGCTAGTTAGTGGATACACCTCTTACAATGAAAAGACTCTTTACAAACAAGCAGGAATAATATCTCTCACAGGGATAGATATGGCTGTTTTTGGAACAACCAGGACATGATTTGGTTGCATATGTCACACACATCTTGGTCAACACGGAACACTTGGCGAAGGGAGCACGCAGCTCTGCACATCTGATTACAAATGAATCAACAACCTCTTCCAGATTACAACAACCTACTGCTTTCCTTAGTCTAAGATGTTGCATGAGTTTCTTTCACTCATTATATAATCATGCTTATTATTGAACAGTAATATTGTATCAGTAGACATAATGCCAAGTTATAAGCAGATCCATAGCTACCGTAGCAAATCGGAAAGATGAGTACTGCGAGGGAACGCAAAAGTAGATCAGGAAAAACAAATCACCGTGATCCTTTTATCTGTTGAATAGTTGCACACATTAAATAAGAGAAAGTGTTTTAGTCCTTCTTAGAAAATAATGAACATATGACCTATACAGTGCCTATAAAAAGTATTCACCCCCTTGGATGTTTTACCCTGTTATTGATTTTATAAATCAGTCATGGTCTGGTGTAATTAGGCTTTTTTTTTTTTTGGACAAAAAAAACTCCTTAATGTCAAAGTGAAAACCGGTTTCTACAGAGTAATGTCGATTAAATAAACATATGTAAAGTGATTGCATAAATATTCACCCCCTTCAAGTCAGTATTTAGTAGATGGACCTTTGGCTGCGATCAGCACTGAGTCTGTGTGGATAGGTCTCAGTCAGTCTTGCACATCTGGACACTTCAGTTTCACTCCATTCTTCTTTGCAAACCTGCTCAGCTATGTTTATACTACAGTCACTTGAGACACATTCACTGTGATCCCCATTTCACTGATTGTGAGACTACTAGCACCCATTGGCTGGGCCTCTGTTCAATTAGGTCAGTCATTTTAAAGACAGTGAATATTTATGCAGTGACTAATTTTACCTTGCACATTTGTTTAATTTACATTACTTTATAGAAATTAGTTTTCACTTTGACATTAAAGAGGTTTTTTTGTAATTTCTTTTGACAAAACCAAATTATATTGACTATGATTGACTTATAAAATCAATAAAAAGGTGAAACATCCAAGGGGGTGAATATGTTTTATAGGCACTATATATATTTATGCTTTAAGAGCCCAGTCATTGTTTTTGTGTGTGATAGGAAACAAAGCTTTATATTTGGATTGTGACTCAATCAAATAGTCCTAATGGGATTTTGAAATGATTCCTCAGGATAACTACTGAGTTGCCACAGGAATACTTTGATGATAATTACATGCATTTCAAAACTCTCACTGAAGACGGTGCTTCAGCTATGGTTCAGAGTGTAAGGGCACCTTGAGGCAAATACCGGTGATGAGTACACTGAAGATGAAAAGGAGTGTTTTGAATACCTGCAGAAGAATGTGAAAAACACCTTTCAACTTTACATGCTATCTTTTTTTTTTACTGTTTTCATATGGACTCCTTGGGGGTATTACTGCTGCAGTCAATAGATGTTAAATCATTTCAGGATCACCAAACCGCTGACATTTGCCGACTGTGTTGGAGATGAGCTGCCTCTCGGCTGGGAGGAAGTTTATGACCAGCAAGTGGGAGTTTACTACATTGACCACATCAACAGTGAGTACATAGTTTCAACACTGAATTATCCTCCAACCACTGACCCTTTGAAATCTTGCAGGGAACTCTGTGTTTTTGATTTCTCCTCCTCTGTTTTTGTAGCACTTTGCTCAAGATTGAATGAATGAATGAAAACAATATACTGAAGCTTTTTGACCTCCAGAAGCCATAACAGCACTTTAAGGCATTTTTGATTTCTATGATTCCGCGTATTCACAGAATTATGTGCCTATTAGACATTTCTGATGTATCCCGTAATCAGAGACCACCCAGATTGAGAACCCACGGACTCAGTGGCGACAGGAGCAGGAGCGCATGCTGAAGGAATACCTTGTGGTGGCCCAGGAGGCCCTCAGAGCCAAGAAAGAGATGTACCTGGTCAAGCAGCAACGTTTGGAGCTGGCACAGCAGGAAATGTTACTCTTCCACGAGCTCACTGAGGACAACCGCTCCATCACTAGCAGTAAGACATGCTAATGTCCAACTCTGACACACAGCCCTGAATTTCAGAATGAAAAAAACACACGAGTATACATGGAAGGAAATAATCAAAGGATGAAAGAACTGTTAACTTGAAAGCTCCATGAAAGCTAAAACCTGGCCATGGCTGACCTAGTTATCTGGCCTGTACATGGTTTATCATTGTTGTCCCTTCAGAAACGGATGGGGGATGTAGATGTATAGAAAATCCTCTCAATCCCCATTCCTATTCACCCTACCCTCCCTTAGAACTACCTTGATCAAGTTACCCTCAGACGGCAGCCAGCTGTCACACAGGGTGTCCAAGAGCGTCAACAGACAGTAAAGGCTGGCAGATGACACTGGATCCTTGTTCGCCTCTTACTATAACAAGTCAACCTTAAAATCATCACTATTAACTAACTGCTCCGCACTGTCCTTTCTTCTTATGTGTTCACAGCGCTCTCTGGCTCGTCCTCAAACTCGAAATATGACCCTGACCAAATAAAAGTGGAAATAGCTTGTAGACGAGAACGGGTAAGTCATTATCGGAGGAGAACAATGGGCTGCAGAGAGGGGCCCTTTTGGGCCTGAAAGGGGGCCAGGGTGTGGCCCCTACAGGATACTGTGGCTCTGGCCTGGGGCTTCAAGAGGATGAGGATGAGATCATCTTCAAAGGGTCAAGCAGAGGCTAGGTCACTGACTCACAGGGCCAAGTTGGACATTTGTCTGAGATCGGTCATATGGGTGAGGGTGTTTCCTGGATCAGGGATATTTCAGATTGTTGCCCTGCGTTCTGAAAAGATGAGTAAGACTTCATTGTAATGTTGCTATAGAAATCTGTTAACTGGAACAAATCAGATTCAGAGATGGTAAATATGTCAACAGCCCAAGATGAAGAGTGACTCTGAGGACTGAATGACACAATATGTTACAATTGTCCCAGTTATTAAATGTCTGTTCCTTATTAAATTGCCACCACAGGCAACACCCACAAATCAACACTAATAGTGTGAGTAGCTTCCAGAGTTTAGAACTATGTCTATGTGGTTTATGACCATGTTTCCAATTTTAGAAAAGTACAACTCATCAGTTTTTATTTCTGTAAGTATCAGAGTAATGTTGGGGAATTGCCATGAAAGTTGGTGCACACATTCATGATGAATAGCTTTGATCCTGAGACTTTTCCTCTAGTCAGCATGTTAGTGAACTGAACTCAAAGCATTGCTGTGCCATAACACAGCAGGGAATTATATCCCAGCCTGTTTATGTACTGATTCTCCTTTTAAAGTAGGTCACATTTTACAGTCATCAGTAGCAGATAATGTTTCAGGTTTTTTCACAACTGATTTAGGAGCAAAGTCCTATAACGTGTGTGTGTGTGTGTGTGTGTGTGTGTGTGTGTGAGCATTCCTGTATGTGAATAGCCATGACTAAGCAGTTTTGGCCAGTGGTGGTGGTGAGAGAAGCCCATTGTGTACCACGCTAACCCGGTGCTCGGCCCTGTGTCCGCAGCTCTCCAGACTGAAGCAGGAGCTGGCCCAGGTGAAGCAGGAGCTACAGTATAAGGAAATGGGAGTGGAGACCCTGCAGGAGTGAGTGTTCCTCTGTCTCTGTGTGTCCCAGGCCCACCCTTCCTCCCATGGCCACCCTTCTCCTTCCTATTACACTCAGCCCAGCTGATCCCCACCCAGGGGCCTTTTTCCTTTTTTATTCCCTCTCACCCTTCAGTGTTGGGTCGCATCCTTCATCTTCAGTTTACACTGGCTTTCTGTTCTGCTTCTGTCCTTCTACCTCGTGCCTCTGTGTTCATACAAAATATTTCATGTAGTTAAAATACCTTTTTAAATGTTTCACATGGCTTATAAATACAGTTTAATTACATTATTAGACAAAACCCAGTTCAGGTATTTGGATCATATAGAAAATGACAAAGAATAACCAGGAGAAACTTTTAGCTTGTATTTTAGATGCAGTTTCCCATTTTCCTGTTGTTGATGCTGGATTATAAAGATGCACACAAAGTGTCTTTCTGTGCTGGGAACATTTCAGAGCAGTTCCAAATTTCATGTTAGAAATAGAAGCTCCACCTCTTGCAGGAGAGAAAAAACTGAGTGTGTTTGAGAAAAAGGCAAATGGAGGGAGTTTTTGATGGAAATGGGGACTCCACCTCAGGAAGAGGATGCACCAGTGGAGTGCAGAGAGCCAAGGCTCAGCCTGCAGCGGAAGTAGCTCCATGGAGAGGGGAGGAGGGGAGGGAGCTGTTTCAAAAACACAGAGCTATCTGGCAGCAAATTCCTCTGCACTTCCCGAGTCCCGGCAAAGATTCCCTTATCTCTGAGATAATGGACAACTCAGGTCATTCCCAGAATAGCCGGGAGAATACACAGCTTGCATAAAATATGGATGCATCCTCTTCTTGACTTTGCGCGTGTGTATATGTACTCATATGTGTGTTTGTGCATTTGTTTGCCTGCGCGTGCGTGTTGTATTGTTTCTTCTGGGTCGGTTTTTGCCCAGTAGGGTTGAGGCCAGGAGGGACCCTACAGCTGTTGTTTTTTTATTTTATATAATAATAATACAGCTAATTGTTCTCCATGCCACATCGCATCAGATAAACCAAACAAACAGTCTCTGACGTAGAAATACACTCGCTAATTGTTACTACTAAAAGAATTCAGGAGTTTGGAGTTTTTCTCCTTCCTCCTTCCTCCTGCTGGCTCCTTCTCTGGACGGTCTGGCATACAACTATCTCTTTACTCATCTGTAACTGATAAGTTTCTCTAATATTCAGAGACTGCAGATGATTCCTCTGAACAGATTTAACTTTGTGTTACTAACCAAAGTTTCACCTGTTGGCATTTAGCCTAACTGACTTAAAATATATCACAGGGTGGGAGTTCATTATAGGCAGGCACCACGAGGTAGGTGGTGCCTCTTTGCTAAGCATATAAACTTTCAGGCCCTGCCAATTGGGTGGGGGAAACAAAGCAGAGCTTGTTTTTGGAGGTAGAGGCAGGGTCGGGTGGATGAACAGTACCTGCTGTTGAAGGAGACTGCAGGAAGCAGGGTGTGGTGAGAGTGGGGGCCATGTGCCAGGTCGAGTGATGGAGGAGGCACTGTGCCGCACTCCTCCAGCTGCCAACACACACCCCCACCACCACTACCACACCCACTATCACCTCACACACACACACGCACACACACACAGGCCGATTCAGTCTGACGGGTGCACTGTGGTTTTGTCGGGTCAGTTTGTTTTTGTAATTGTTATCAATAGACACTTGGATCATATCATGTCTGGATTTTATTATTGAGCTGCCACTTTGTCCTGAGGCTGCTGAGTCAGACTTTACTTCCTCGTGAAGGAACATTTATTTGAAGCCATATTTAAAAGCCTGAAACAATATGTCAGCATGTGGACACACACAGAAGTTAGCGTTTACATTGGCCCTGTTACATGCAGTCTATCCAGTTTTGTGTATTTCTTGACTGACCAGTGGGTGGATGTTACCTCCCACACAAAAATACTTGACATGTTTATCTGATGATTAGTTTTTCTGACTTATTTTAACTGATCTGTTTTCCGGTGTAAAGCTCCACCCTACTAGTGAAGTGAAGGAGAGTTGTCATTCACAACTGTGTAACAGTGTGAAATGGGCTTGTGCAAACTGTACTTGATTGATTGTGAATATAATAATGAGAAAGTTGAGCTTTTTTCTCCCCAGAATTAACAATAGTAATACATCACCATCTGCTCTCTGCCATCCCCCTCTGTTTTCCCAGTTTGTCTGCACAAAATAAGATACTTTAACAAAATACTTGTTAGCATTAACATGATCACACACCCTTTGACTCACTGTAGCACATGGATATCCTGGGGGGGTCTTGCTCGCATTAATCTGTAATTTAAGACACATTCTGTTCTTAACTTCTGCAGAAGCCTAAACTGCCCAAATGTAGTAAAAGGTTAGAAGTCAAAAATAGCTCTCAGAACTAGAGATCCACCTATTGATTGGCGGAGGTTGGAAATGGCCCGTTTGACCGGTGACCGGCCAATCACTCCGAGATTTCTGATTTCATGTCAGTCAGATTCAGGGGCATAACAGCCAATGTCGCGCATGCGGTAGCACAGACCAAAAGCATAGCACGTGCAACGCATAGCATCCACCTCGAGCGAGGCTTGCACTCATGTCTATACCTTCGCGTGTTCACACAAACAGTGCACAGTGGAGCCTGTAGAAACACCTTGGAGAAGGGAAAACTATGTCCAAATAAATATTATATGATAAGGGAATTACTGGCTACAGCTGAAATGCATATATATGTACAGTGTATCCAACCCGTGGTTAAACACAGCAAATACGAACTACACACACTTCACAAAGAACTCTGTGCTCAGTAGTAACAGACAGTTTTCCATTTTTATTACCTGCTGCACCTGTTTCTATTTGGAGAAGTACAAATATGACTCTTCATTTTTAGTTGGAGGTCTGTTTAAAAAAGGGGCAGAGAAAGAAAATGTAAAACTTTAATACAATGTTTTATTTTTGTTACAACGTTTCATTAAAGAAGTTACAAAAATGTCTGTATGCTGTCAATTACAGTTCTTAGAAAGACGGAAAATCGGAATTGGCCAAAATTAGAAATGACAGGTCGGATTTAGAGTAAAATTGGAATCAGCAAGGAAAACTGCCATTGGTGTATCTCTTCTCAGAACATCTAATATAATATAACTAATATTATTAGTGTTTTTGGAGGTTAAAGAAAATGTATAAAGCTTTATATTTGTTATTATGGTCTTTTCAATATTTGAGTAACAGTGTTATTAAATTATGTTTTTGACTTGTCTGATAGCCTTTGGTTACATTTTGCCAGTTTCGGGACACCCTAGGTCCAACATGAATATGGATAAAGGTAATGACTTCCAAAGGGATGTTCCATTATAGTTTGTAAACAAGGCTTAGCAGAAATCCACTAGAGCAAGCAGCTTCGACATCTGGGGTTTCTCACTCAGTGGCCAAGCAGACGCCTTACTGTGTGATTTTGTCTCACAGGATCGACAGGAAGATGTCCTGCAGTCAGACAAACTACAAGCTGGACGAGGCTCAAGCCATCTTCAGTGAGCTGCAAAGCATCAAGAAGGCCATCAACACAGGCGAGAAGGAGAGGCAGGACCTCATCCAGGTGTCAGACTTTTTAAAGATCACCTGTGCTTCCTGCCATCTGAACCTTGTCTTATTATAAGATTCTGTCCTGACCTCTAGTATCTCATCAGTCTTTTTAAAACACATTTCCAGACATCTGAATTACTGACCATGTCTCTAGTTTTGACAGCAAAGCAAAAAATATGATGGTGTAATGAATAATGAACAGCAGACATAGATTCAGTTTGATTCTCAGGCCACATTTGTTGAATCATTTCCTGGCAGCGTCACAGTCTATTTATGATTAGGAGGCAAATAACACACTGTGAATGTTGTAATAATTTGAAATGACAAGGTAAATCTGCCTTTAAAGATGTTTTTTCACAGAGTTATTATCGACCTTTCTGGCATTATTGTGGCTGATCTGTCTGGTTATTTATTCCCACAGAGCCTCGCTAAGCTGACGGCGAACTTCCAGAGCAGCTTGTCTATCGGTGATTCGGCCAGCGAGGTGGTAAACAGCAGTGGAACTGCTGGTGACTCGTGCATACTGCAGCAGTACTGTGACACTGGCTGTCAGACTGACATCATGGGGGAGGTAGGAGACACTGCTACTCCTCCCACTCCTCCCTATCTCTCCCTCAGACAAAGGTTTTCAAAGTCTGACTTATAGTTGGGACGGGGGGGCACACAGGTAGAGACATGAACCGCAATTTGTGTCAAAATCTCAGGGTCATAACTCAGTCAAATCTGATCTTACAGATATGAAACATAATTAATGTGACTTACACTCCCTGTGGATGTCATTATCTTCTATTGTCCAGAGTAAATGAAAGCCCCATAAATCTGCTCACAAATCTTAGTAAACTGAAGGTTTAAAAAAAAAAAACTTCACATAACTTCAGAATTTGCCTGAGAATAATCATGTGTCTGATTTTTCTTGTGTAGTCAGCGATCAGTGATAGTTGTCTGTACATCCATGGGTACATTGCAAAAAGTAACAACAAGCAATGTGGTGTAGTTTTAACTGTGTCGGGTCGTCAAAATGTAAACAAATAGGCTAAAAATTGGGGCTCAGGTTCTAGCTCACATCTGACTCACAGGGGGGCCCACCGACTTTGAAAACCTGCCCTAAAAGAATGGTCAGCTGCTCTTAACAGTGACTAGACAGGCTACAAGAAGCTCCCTACACCCTTCATACAGCTGAAGTGATTGTCACTGTGTAAACTGCTGATACTTACATGCACTGTCAATGCTTTTTAGTACGGTCCCCAAGACTGCTCATATTTGGTGGACAAAGTGAAGCTCAACTGGCAGTACGAGGAGGCCAAGAAAAAGTAAGTGTGTCTGCGCGTTTGTTGTTTATCAGTCACAGTACTATGACACACCAGCATGCAGCATTGACTCACGGGCCCCATCAGCCCCCTCTTGTTCCTCAGTCCAGTGGGAGGACGTGCTATGAACAGTATTTATGCCTGGTGGCTGTGGCTGCTGAGCGATGTCTGACCAGCGGAATGAGCTGGGTGGTCACATTCTTGCCTGGCCACGCTGCTGCTGACTGTGTGCTGCCTTTGTGTGCGCAGTCAGAGAGAGGACTGCTCACTGCCTGCCTCGGTGCACACCCTGCTCCTCCCCAAGGCGGTTTAATATACACACAGTTTGGTTAAATATATCCCAGGTCATTGTATAGCACAGGCTAAATTATATGTTGGCAAAATCAACACTGAACAAAGCCTGGATTTCTCTTTGGTTTTGAAAATGGGGTGCTCTTGAATTCAGACCAGACTTGTTGTGGGGTTATGTGTTGCCTAATGATTTGATGCACAGTATTTTGGGCAGTGTGTGTTTCAGCTGTCAGGGGCAGCAGTGTGATGATAGCTGAAACAGCAGAAGTCACTGTATTATTATGCTGGCTCCTTTCACACTTTTTACAAGACTCATGTTGCTGTGGTGACCCAGCAACAGCAATGCCAACCATGACATCAGGGAGGGAGTAAGAGAGAAGGGAGACCTGTGGAAACTTGCATGTTCTGTCACTGAGTCACTCTGTCTGAAATCCAGCACACACAAACACAGCCATTTCATTTGAGCTCAGGACTCTCTCTCTCTGAGATCCCACTTAACTCTGTTGGAATAGACGTCTCGTTGGTACACACCCATAAGGCCACCGACTGATGCAGCAGGTTCTGTAGCTCAGGTAGAAATGACTGCACTCAGCGCTGTCATAGTTGCAGCATGAAGTGTCAGCTCGGCTCAGACTCGTGCAGGGTTCGCAAAGGCTGTACTTAACACTGAGGGCAACATTAACACAGCAAACTAATACAAATATTAATAAGTAGCCATCTAATAACTGACCTGACTTGTCTCTTTTTTTTGTCATAAATTACTGATATCGATATGTAATTACTGGATTTATTATGACAGAGATGTGATGGTTTTTACGTGTGAATGCTGTCTGATTGGACAGTGAATTGTGTTAATATGCCCATCCTATGATTCCAACTTATAATATATTGCATGTGTTGAGCAACTAACAGTTTATTAATCCACTATAGTAATAGAAAAACAAAACGGTGTCTATGTTGAAGCTGATCGTTGGCAGTCCTGTAAATTGTATGAGCTGAGCTGAGCTGAGCTGGGGTGAGGTGTAAAAGGACTGAAGGGAATTCTTCTTTCATTCTTGGCATATGTGCTCCTTGTACTTGAGTAATAGTGCCAGGTACTTTTGGCTCTTGCAAAGTTTTATGTAAATGAATGTTTTCAACCAAGTATGCAGCATGAACTCATCTGTCTCTTGTTATAAATGTGTCAACTCTATTAGCTGTTGTCCCAGTGCCAGATGTAAGGAGGCAATCAGAAATATGTAAACCAGTGTTGCCCTCACACACTATATTGTTTCTTGCTGTTGCTCTTTCAGGGTGCAGAGCATCCAGCACCAGCTAGCACAGCTGGACAGTGAGAGCTGGTCGGGGCGTGCCGAGGCGGACCGGGACCGGGACTTCATGCAGCTCTTGCGCGAGAAGGAGGCCCTCCTGCAGGAGATCATCCTGGTCAGCAAGCAGCAGCACCCGCCAGAGACGCTGCTGCAGCTGGAGGAGGAGCGCTCCAGGCTGGAGGAGGAAGTGCAGAGGGCCCACAGCTCCCAGAGCCAGGGAGCCAATCAGAGGTAAGAATGGGGACAGCCTGCCTTGTCAGATTTTGGATTTGGACACTTTTACACATTGTGCTTCTAGGGTGACATCTGTACTTGTGTATATTTACTATCTGTGTGTAGATTTCACATGTTCTTATTATATTACTATATCATTTTAAATCTAACATTGTAAATCGGTTCTAAAATGAGATGCATACACATAATACATGAAAGTAGTTAAAGAAGTAGTTACATACACAGTACTGTTTGGGCTGGGCATGTGAAAACAACAATAAAAATAGTCAATTGAAATGTATTAGCTTTTCAATTATGAGCTATACAGAACAATAAGTACTTCATGAACCAGTTTGCAGGTTAATAAATAATATTAATTAGCAGGAAATTCCAGCAGCTCCATATCAGATATCATATGAAGGCACATGGCAGACTGCAGGCTACTGCACGACCACATGTAACTGACCGATAGTCCTAAAGCCAAAGGTTACTTTTGTGTCCTAAATGCCATTATTTAGATATGTGATCTCATTTTAATGTTTTATCCACTAAATAACATATACAGTATGTTTTACATTAGAAATTAGAACATTTTCACCTCAACACAAACTTCAAAATATTTAAATACATACCAGGGCCCTCCAGAGATTCAGTGTTGGGCATCTGTCATTATGTGTTTTCAGCTTCACAGCTACTGGATGTGCAAATACCCTTTATTGAAGGTGCCAGCACTGTACAGAGAATGCAATATTTCCAGTATTTCTACACTTAATGTGGATTTCTTGTGATAGCTTGATCTTGATTTTAATATCTCTGGGCTTTGAATATAGAAGCCAGTTGGTTTCTCTACTGTTTTATACAAATGAATCACCACAACCACATGTAACCTTGTCAAGTACTGTAAAAAGTCTAGTGGGGTGGTTTACGGAGGCAAAATGACAGAAAACTGTCCAAAAACTTATGGAACTGACTGTATGTGGTTTGTTTACATGAGAAAATTGACAACATAAAGTATACTACAAACTAAAAACACTTTTTTTAACCAATGTTTTAAGCATGTAACTTGTACAGTGCGGTGATAGCAGTATATTATATAGTCGATGCTTCACACAGTCGGTATGTAGAATGGAATTGGAACAGCTCATGTGTGGAGTGAGCTGATCAAGGAGAACCAACTCCAGCACCTCACTTTCCATAACATGTCTCATTGTGCATTCACTATCAGGTTATCTGCTAGTTTTACAGTTACTTGTAACTGGAGGAGAAGTACGGGTGCCCTCATAGCTCAGTTCATTGTATAAGATGAAAACATGAAGCTGCTGGAGTTTACAGTAGAATAAAGATCCAAGCAGGACAGATGTATCCATGATAGCTCTTGTTGTCAGGATAGACCACACATTTAGCTCTGCAGTGCAATGCAGCAGTAGCGTGAGAAACTGACTTCAGTACTCCTTTAGAAGGTAGTCATTTTAGAAACACCCCCAAAACATATCTTAATGGGGAGAGTTGCTGTCAAAGCTCCTGTGACTCCAGACCCAGCAAACAGCCTGCAGAGTGCAGCAGTGCAGTAATGTTCCCTTCTAAAGGTTTTTGACCAGGATGCAACTCTTAACCAATCAGAGAAGGCCACCATCAGGGGTGGGAGCTCACGACTCTCAGTCAGTACGTGAACACACTTCAGCCCTGTTGAGATGGTCGCAGGCTAACAGGCTACTAATTTCAGTGTTAGCTGAGACAGCACCATAAAAAAGAGGGTAAAGAAATGAGATTTGAAGAGAAGGAAGAAAAGAAACAACACTGTTGGATTTAGATCATAAAGTTCTATCGGCGTGGCTTTGAGCAGATGGAGAGAGTTGACAGAGAAGAAGAATTTACCAATGGATGCTGATTTGGCATTCTTTCTGCTGAACTGGTATGTTGTGACTTTATTATTCATAGAAATACGCTAAGGATTCAAACCATTAGTCTTTGTACTTGTAGCTAAATCATGCCAGAGCATGTCATTTGCACTCCCAGTGTGACTAACAGCAGCTGGCTAAGCTCAGGATGTTACTGTGTTGCTACTGTCAGTTGTAGTGATCAGACACAAGCCACCGATTGCTCTGCTGCAGCTGTCAAATCAATTTGTGACTGTGAATGATGTTATTTTGAGGCCCATCAGTTGAATGATGTACTCTCCACTAACTTGGTCTCCCCAGTTAGGCAGCTGTGGAAGCTGTGGTGTTAAGTGATATTAGCCATGCATCTCTCAAAGCTGTGGTGTTAGTTAAGTGATATTAGCCATGCATCTCTCTCTTCAGATGTAGTTATTTTATTCCAGGCATCGTTTCAAACCTATATATGATCGAGAACATGAGTGGAGAAGTGGCGGCGCAAAATCTGCTTCACAATACTTTTCTGTGGATGTGCAGGGCCCACTCATTTCTCTGCCATTGTGCACAAACTGTGCTGGCTGTAAACATGTCATGTCCACCTGTTGTGTAGTGGAAATTGCTACACATTTGTGCTGTTTTACAGTAGATATGAAAGTCAACTTAGTGAGTTATGTTGTTTTAACACCCACCGGTTGAATTTTGTAGTGTCTGCTAACTTTGCTCATAACTGTGGCATTCTGTGACCGTGGTTTGTTGTTCTCGATGTGCTGGGTGGAGTTGAGCGAGGAGGGAGAGGGACGACTGGCTGGAGCAGAGAGTCTCATGCTAGTGCTATAGCTATATTTTGAATGAATCCTTATTGTAGCTTTAACTTAATTTGAAACTGCATCCCTGTGTAATTCATGACAGGATCCTGCAGCAGGAGAAGAGGAACGCTCTGCTGAGACAGCTGGAGGAGGCAACACGCATCACCACATACCTTCACTCCCAGCTGAAGAGGTGTGAAATGCACTCAGTGTTATAGTTGTTTCAGTTGTTCTTCATTGAATCTTTGCCTATGTTCTTACATCTGTCTTTTGTGTCACCAGCCTGTCGGCCAGTTCACTGACAGTGTCGTCCAGCAGCAGCCGTGGCTCTCTAGCATCTAGTAGGGGCTCCCTAGCATCCAGCCGAGGCTCCCTCAGCTCTATCAGTTTCACTGACATCTATGGTGTCCCCCAGTATGACCGTCACGAGGGGACAGGAGAGCCATTTGACCCCCACCTGCGCTACCTGCTGCCCCTAGAGACCGTGCCCAGAGACTGTTCCATGTTCACTCCTGACCCCCTGACCCAGAGCAAAACCAAACGCTCCCATGACACCCCGCAGTCTCTGGCCTCCCTGTCCTCCCGCTCTTCGCTCTCCTCTCTGTCACCGCCCAGCTCTCCCATGGACACACCCTACCACTCTGCCCCTCAGGACTGCCCCCTCACGCAGATGACAGAGGAATACATGGAACTGGCAGGTCGCGGCCTGTTAGAAGGGCTTCGAGTGCAGTCACAAGCCCTGCCACATTCTGCCATGTTGAGCAGCGAGGACACGGTCAACCCTGCCACTGTGCATCAACTGGACAACAAGAGTCACAGAGACAGCGGAGCTCAGGGGCCCTTTACCTCCACAGGCAAGTTAAAGACAGCTGATCCTTGTCCCAGATAATGCCAATTACTTGCTGAGTAATTGGATGTGCTTGCCTCTCTAGGAGTGACTCTGAGAGGGAACAGTGCCAATAGAAATGGCAGGAGGGCCAGAAGAGTGTCTGCGGGTGTATCTGAGGATGCTTTGGCCACAGACAGTGGCGTCTTTGAAGCCTGGGGCAGGAGGTGAGAAGATGTCCACCCTAACATAAAGAAGTAACACTTGCTGGAGTACCTCTGCCTCCTAGTGACAGAGGAGGGAACTACAACACAAAAAATAAATACCTTTTTTGGCTTTAAGGGTCTGTAGTAATTGTATTGTTTAGTCTCTGGAGTATTTAATGCCATCACACGACTTCAAGTGTCTGTCTGAGGAAAACAAAGTTATGTCAGTCATCTTCAAGTTAGGTAGTAATATTACAGTTGCTTATAGTAGAAGAAGAATGTAGAAACTGCACAGTCTATTCTGTATCACAGGTCACTGGACTATCTTCAGATGGTTATACAGTCATGGCCAAAAATATCAGCTGCCCTGCATTTCTGTCAGATAATGGACCACTTCTCCAAGAAAACTGTTGCATTCACAAATTCTTTGGTATTTCTTTTGTTTGCACTGGAACGGCACAAAAAAAAACAGAGAAAAGAAGCCAAATCTGATCCATTCCAGATAGAACTCCAGAAATGAACTGGACAGAATTACTGACACCCTCAACTTAATATTTGGTAGCACACCCTTTGGACAAAATAACTGAAACCACTCACTTCCTGTAACCATCAGTGAGTTTCTTCCACCTCTCTACTGGAATGTTGGACCACTCTTCTGTTGCCAACTGCTCCAGGTCTCTCAGATTTGAAGGGTTCCTTCTCCCAGCTGCTGATCTCTTCTCAGGTGGTCTATTGGATTTAGATCTGGACTCATTGCTGCCCACTTCAGAACTCTCCAGCACATTGTCTGAATCCATTTCTGGTGAATTTTGAAGTCTGATTTGGGTCATTGTCCTGCTATAAGAATCATGACCTCTGAAGGAGACCCAACTTTCTGACACTGGGCCCTACATTATGCCCCAGAATTCAGTGGTAGTCTTCAGATTTCATAATGCCATACACACAGTCAAACCCCAAAACACCAGTGAACCTCCACCATGTTTGACGGTAGGGACCGTGTTCTTTTCTTTGAAGGCCTCATTTCATTTTCTGAAAACAGTACAATGATGTGCTCGACCAAAAAGCTCTATTTTAGTCTCATGTGTCCACAGGACATTCTCCCAGAAGGTTTGTGGCTTCCCCAGGTAGGTTTTGGCAAACTCCAGTCTGGGTTTTTATGTCTCTGTGTCAGCAGTGGGTCACTCTGGGTCTCCTACCGTAGCGTTCCTTGTCATTCAGATGGTGACAGATAGTGTGAGCTGACAGTGTTGCACCCTGTGGCTGCAGGTTGGCTTGAATTTGTTTGGAAGTTGATCGAGGTTCTTTATCCACCATTCAAACAATCCTTCATTGCAATCTGTCATCTGTCTCTTTCGTCCACGTCCAGAGAGATTAGCTACAGCACCATGGGCTGTAAACCTCTTGACAATGTTGATCACAGTGGACACAGGAACAGCCAGATCTCTGGAGATGGACTTGGAGCCTTGAGACCGTCCCTGCGTTTCCACTGTTGTGGTTCTCAAATCCTCAGACAATTCTTTGCTCTTCTCTCTCTTCTCCAAGCCGAGTGTAGTTCACACTACAGAAAGGTTGAGTCAACTTTTCTCCATTTTAACTGGCTGCAAGTTTGATTTCTATGTTGCCAGAACCTGTTGGCTGCTACAGGTGAGTGTCATTACAAATCAAAGGAGCATCACATGCTTGAAATACAACTATTCCTGATGGTTTTGAAAAGGTGTCAGTAATTCTTTCCAGTCCATTTTTTGCGTTCTGTGTGGAGTGGATCAGATTTGGCTTTTTTCCTCTTTTTTTGTTGTTCCAGTGCAAACAAAAGAAATAAACATGAGAAAACCAAAGAATCTGTGATGCAACCATTTTCTCAGAGAAATCCAGGGGTGTCAATATTTCTGCCCATGAGTGTACATATGTTTTCAGTATGAGAGGAAAACAGTTTTATTGCTTATTCGTTGCTCCTTCAACAGGGCAGAAGAGTCTGAGGAGATGTCATACATGAAAGAGCTAACATCTGTGAGTGAGCCCACCCAGATCCAACTGGGACTGCTGTGAGTAAACTGTTGGTGGATGCTTAATGTGGACGACATGCTTATTCGCTGTCTGCGTATAACCCCACCGTCTCTCTGTTGTACTTTTCTCTGTACAGGTGGGAGTGCAGTTCTCAGTCTCTCCGTCTGCATTTGCTACAGCTCAAGAATTTGAACAGGTCCCTTGTGAGAGATGGCTATAAAGTGTGAGTATCTTTAACTATGATGATTAAAGGAATAGTTTGACATTTTAGGAAATATGCTTAATTGCTTTCTTGTGAAAGATAGATGAGAAGATCTATACCACTTTTGTGTCTGTACTTTAAACATAAAGATACAGCCAGTTAGCTTAGCCTAGCATTGGAAGCAGGGCAAATGTCTGGCTTGGCTCTGCCCAAAGGCAAATGAAAATCTCCCTGCCAGTATTTCTAAATACTGTTGCTTTGGGTGGCTGTTGCTCTTAAGGAGTGAGGCCTTATTTCAATCAGTCAGCGCCTCCTCTCCTGCATTTACTGTGGTGGAGACTGACAGGGCACTGAGTTTTGTATGCTCAAAAACCAAATGACATTTTAGCTGTGTTAGATTCTAATATTTGTGTAGTTCAAAATTACATAACCCCTGTAAAAAATAACATTAGATAATTTTTAGTAACAATTGTTGCATATAATTGTCATCAAGACCTCAGTAGAGATGGTTTTTTCATTCCATGTTTGCATAAATAAATTGGGCATCTTCTCTGACAACTGGGTGGGCCTGAGGTTCTGATTGGACTATTTGGTGTTAGTCACATTTGGCAACACTGCCTCAAAAGCGTAATAATTAGCACATTTACATTTAGCCTCTATTATATTATTTTAGAATTGTAAAATTATTGAATTGTCATTAAAATGAACCACACAGTTGGCATCTCATCTAGGGAAGCAACATGTCTTCAGAGGTACTGGTAGGCAGATTTAGTCACCTGTAGATTCATATTTAGTGTACAGACATGAGTGTGGTACCAGACTTCTCATCTGACTGACATGGACATGCACAGCTAAAGGGGGCTTTCAACATGATCATTTTTACATTATTGCTGTTATCAGTCATTAGAAATCACATGTTGATATTTATCTATTTGTGTTCAGGTATGTGAAGGTGCAATTGATTCCACTGGACGCCAGCAGGGCATGTGCATTTTACTGTTGTACAGCATTGGAGCCACAGTCCCTGATGAGTTTCAACGAAGGCTTCCGCATTCCCGTCCCTGCAAACTCCCTGGTGGTGTGCACTCTGCAGCTTTCCGTCTGCTCACTGGGACCTCAGGCTCAAGAGGAAATACTGGTGGGTCTGGCTGAGCAAGATACTCATGCTGGCCCTGATGATGGGCACTGAAGCTACAGCATCTCACGTTTATTACTTAATTCTAAAGTTAGGTAATGAAATTGTCTGTTTGTGTTACTACAGGGCACAACCCAGGTGAGCCTGGCAGATTGTGAGGGAAGCGCGGACATGGTTTACCATTTGCTACGAGTCCAGATGTTGAGCAGGACGGAATCATTGAGGCCTGACCAGAAAAGCCTGAGCCACCGCAGACACCATGACAGCCATGATGATGAGCAAAGACCCAGGGTAAGCATTCATACAAAGGATGTGTTCAGTAAATCACAGTATGACAGTGATATCAGGTGGAAGATGTAAAAAAAAATTTAAAAAATGACACTAGGTTTTCTTGCACATTTATATGGACATTTTAAGACAGAGGTCCCAAATTTGTCAGAGCCCTACTGAAATTTGGGAAACAGTTGATGAGGAGCACCTTTGTCTTACAGTCCTTTTATTTAGCTGGAGCTGGGTGTGGCCATCCAGTATTCCACATACTCATGGTAACTTAAGTGAAGACTAAAATTCATGTGTCTCACTGGTTTTCAAGAAAAAAGTAAAGCTCTGACATCAGTGTAGCAGTGGCAAATGATGTGGGAGCATATATAATGCAAATAAAATGGAACCTAACATGGATCCTTGGGGTCCACCATAGGAAACTGTTGCAAAAGGAAATAAAAAATGTTCAAGTTTTAACTACAACTGATCAGTGTTGCAGATTAAAAAAAAAAATAGAGGTGACAAACACCCAACCACCAGCAGACACTGGAGGCCAAAACTACAGACTTACAGTGCCTTGCGAAAGTCTTCGGCCCCCTTGAACTTTGCGACCTTTTGCCACATTTCAGGCTTCAAACATAAAGATATAAAACTGTAATTTTTTGTGAAGAATCAACAACAAGTGGGACACAATCATGAAGTGGAACGAAATTTATTGGATATTTCAAACGTTTTTAACAAATAAAAAAACTGAAAAATTGGGCGTGCAAAATTATTCAAATCCACATAAGGGATGACGGCAACATTCATAGATCCTGGAATGCACAATGAGGGGCAATGTTCATTCCTATTACAGAGGCCCACTGAAATTTTTTTGAGGAAAAGCTGTGTTAGACTGCATATTGTTTATAGTAAAGTATTTTTATATACAAATATAAAAATGAAAATGTTTCTGGAGTGGGACTTTAATTAATTATAGAAGTTGTGCAGAAGCTGCCCATAGCTCTACACAGTGATCCATGTGTGTACTGTATGTGTTTCTATGCTGCTCCAAATGAGTCTGTTCTGGTTCAACTTGTCTTATTAAATGAGCTTAAAAATAAAGTGACACCTTAGTTATAAAACACTGAGCAGGCTGTAACACACAAGAGTGTGTTTAAAGTTTGCCACAAGCCACCTGGGAGACGCACCAAACATGTGGAAGAAGGTGCTCTGGTCAGATGAAACCAAAATCGAACTTTTTGGCAACAATGCAAAACGTTATGTTTGGCGTAAAAGCAACACAGCTCATCACCTTGAACACACCATCCCCACTGTCAAACATGGTGGTGGCAGCATCGTGGTTTGGGCCTGCTTTTCTTCAGCAGGGGCAGGGAAGATGGTTAAAATTGATGGGAAGATGGATGGAGCCAAATACAGGACCATTCTGGAAGGAAACCTGATGGAGTCTGCAAAAGACCTGAGACTGGGACGGAGATTTGTCTTCCAACAAGACAATGATCCAAAACATAAAGCAAAATCTACAATGGAATGGTTCACAAATAAACATATCCAGGTGTTAGAATGGCCAAGTCAAAGTCCAGACCTGAATCCAATCGAGAATCTGTGGAAAGAACTGAAAACTGCTGTTCACAAATGCTCTCCATCCAACCTCACTGAGCTTGAGCTGTTTTGCAAGGAGGAATGGGCAAAAATTTCCGTCTCTCGATGTGCAAAACTGATAGAGACATACCCCAAGCGACTTACAGCTGTAATCGGAGCAAAAGGTGGCGCTACAAAGTATTAACTTAAGGGGGCTGAATAATTTTGCACGGCCAATTTTTCAGTTTTTTATTTGTTAAAAAAGTTTGACATATCCAATAAATTTCGTTCCACTTCATGATTGTGTCCCACTTGTTGTTGATTCTTCACAAAAAATTACAGTTTTATATCTTTATGTTTGAAGCCTGAAATGTGGCAAAAGGTCGCAAAGTTCAAGGGGGCCGAATACTTTCGCAAGGCACTGTACATATAGTATAACATTTGATGATAAGACAGTGGTTCCCAGCTATTTTTATGCCTCTTCGCCAATGACAATCATGGTCAAGGCATTATGTTCTTGGGTCGTCCATCTGTTTGTCCCATTCTTGTGAACACAATATCTCAGTAACACCTTGGGGATTCTACCACAGCTCATTAGAGCAAGGATGAGAAGGCTTGCTTTTGTCCCTCATCCTCCTGCTCTTGGCCGCCACACTGTCCAGTTCCAAACTGACCACCTAGCTAGCTTTCATTAGCAGCTTGTTGCTGCTCTTTCTCTTCCTGTTGTGAGATCAGTCTAGCCTCCTCACTTCCTCTCACTGGATGACAACCAGCACAGGGAACCTCCTGTTCCTTGCATAGTCCAAGCTTGTTGGTTTCACTGAGACTAAGCTCCAGGTTATTGTCACTGCACAATGTGTCAAAGCTTTCTGTCAGTCATCTGTACTTGTCTGTACAAATAGTCTCAAAGTGAAGACGATATGTTTCACAATGCAAGTTATTCACTAGGATCGTACACATCAGTATAGTGAAAACTTCCATTTGCCAAGAAATAGAATTAATATCTTTCAATAAATTCCTTCAAAGTGTTCAGTACATATATTACGAGTCTGGACAGACATGCAGGCAACTTGGTTGGCGGAAGTATACAACCACAAGCTGGTAATTCTAGATGCTCATGATCCCTATAAATGAAGATGTCATCTTGTGCCCCCATATCACAGGTTATGGTCTCAGTTTAAGGTGAAACTTTCCAGTGGTTTACAAAATGCTAAAACAGATGATCAGAAAAACAAAACATACTTTAGATTAAAAGTTAATTTTTCTTATCTGTGTCATCATCTTGCTCAGATAAGACTGGAAAAAAATGCAGGTCTCGGCTCTGTGCCTGCTTATGGAGGATCTGATCAGCCACCTGCTGGCATAGCACCAACAAACTCAGCGCTCCTGAGGTGTTAACAGAAAAAGCTGGCTAATTTGTTGTGTTAGATGCCAACATTAAACTGTACAACCTTCCGTGGCTTTGGGAGAAATTCCTCCTTGCATTGTTGCTAAGCAGCTTATAGCCTAGAGCCTACAGGTGTGTGCAGCCTGTTAAAGCAAGTAGTTGACAAGAATGTGCCTCACAAGCCAAACCAGCCTGTGACCACACTGAGGCGTCACCTCGTGTGAACTCACACTGTTAGAGGAGGGAGGATGAATGTTGACAGTGTGAAGCTGGTGTTTGATAGTTTGTTCTGTGACATTACAGGACACTGTATGCACTCTGCTGTCACGCACCACCACCACCCATCGGGAGGAGCAGGATGCAGAGCTGGAGCTGCAGAGGCTGGAGAAGAAGGATGAGCCAGGGGAGGCAGCATCTGAGAGGTGATGGCATTTTCTGCTTGAGCTAGATCCTCCTCAAGCCACTCACAGAATTCACTTCTTTTTGCTTCCAGTATATATGTGCTTTGGTGACAAGTGTGTGTTTTGCAGGAGTTGGCAGGCGGAGTCGGTGGACAGCGGCTGCAGCAACAGCACTGCCTTCACAGCTCCCTGCTCAGAGGGCCTGTGTGCGGAGGGCATCTGCATCATCACCGGGGGGCACTGCAATCAGACAATCAGCAAAGTCTGCACAGTAAAGGTAAAGTCTACAGCAGCAGTAGCGGGTCACTGCTCATTTCTGTCCACAGATAGCGCAGGACTCTGGCATTAAAGTGCCATTAACACATTGTTGCAGGTGGAGAAGGCCACCATGACAGAAGGCCTGTTCCCAGAACTGGTGCGAGTCCGGCCCAAGGAGCGGGGAGGACGATGGGGTCACACCTCCTCCTTTATGCGTGGCAGCACCATTGTTCGCTCTCAGACTTTCTCTCCTGGGGCTCGTAGTCAGTATGTCTGCAGGGTGAGTGTTTGCAAACAAGGAGCATTTTAACAGACTGTTAATATTTCTGAATGCTTGCTCTACATAAAATGGCTGATTTTTGCCTTTCAGTTATATCGAAGCGACAGTGACAGCTCAACCCTACCAAAGAAGTCCCCTTTCGTCAGGAACACTTTGGAAAGAAGAACACTGCGATATAAACCGGTGCGGTCTGACTCTTAATGATCAGAAATACATAGAAGAGTGTGATTAGCATCTAGTTTCTTAGTTGTATTTGTGTGTGCGAGCAACAGTCATACCGCTCCTCCCTGGCCGAGCAGCCGACCCGTACCTCCCTGGACCTGGAGCTGGATCTCCAGGCCTGCAGGACGCGTCAGAGGCAGCTGGAGGAGGAGCTGAACGCCCTGAGGGAGCTGAAGCTGCGACTGGAGGAGCCACAAACCAGGGAGGCCACCGATATCCCCCACTGGGCCCTGAGGGACGAGCGCTTCCGCTGCCTGCTCAGAGAGGCCCAGAGACAGGTGAGACTGGAAGCAGGGTGCTGTAGTTACTTTACAAGCCGTGTGAGAGTCAGACTTGCCATTATTTGTTCTACAGGCGAGCCAAAGCAAGCAGGAGCAGCGTCAGGAGGAGGCGGTGGAGAGGAGGCTGAGGAAGGCTTCCAAAGAGGTTCTGCAGATGAGGGGGCAGAGCCAAAAGGAACCCCTGCCTGTGCAGACATTCAGGTTGGCACTGGGCTGACTCCTGGTCAGTTTTCGTACTCTACTCTGGGGAACTGTTAAATTCACACTGAAGGTCACAGTGGAGGTGAAGTTGGTGTCCTCAGCTTCACTTATTACCAATTAAACCAGAATGTACAGGTGTGATATAATTATAAGATGAGAATGAATAAATCTGATCTCAGCCACATTTTTAGAAATGTAAACAAAGTTACTGTGAATTAATGTTGGTGAATGAAGTGTCGGCCTGATTATAACATTTTTGTGGACCGGTTTTGAGGCTCCCATTCTGCCATCACACCTCAGGAACCCGTTTCCTCCATGGCACTAAAACACGTTAAGAGAAACTCCAGTAGTTGAAACAGGGATGCAGATGTGATGCATCTGATTAGTCGAGCCAAATTAAAGGTCTGTGCTCTGTGTTCAGTATTAGACGCCACACACACACACACACACACACACAAGTTTGTGGTCTTACAACCATGTTAAGTGCATAAAACACTGAAGCCTTTGCTGGTGCATTTGTTGATCAGAGAAATAGTGTAAAACTATTTTCAGCAGTGCATTTTTCACCACTTGTGTGCATGTTTGAGAACAGCCTACTCATAAAACACTGCCCCATTGCACTACTGCAGGTCAGAAATCTCCCTTAAATTTACCACTCTGTAAGAAATGGTGTTATGTTCTCTCCATTCAAAATGAAACCCGTTTCCTTTGTCTGCAGAGAGAAGATGGCTTTTTTCACAAGACCAAGGTTCAACATACCTCCTTTGCCAGCTGACGATGTATGAGACCTTACCTCTGTATTACGTGACTCGACATGAAGTATTTGTCAAATATTTTCCCAGCTCATGAAGTACAAGCTTCTCTCTACCGAGGACACAGGCGGGGTGACACACAGATGATGTTGAAGATTAGAACGTTTCGCTTTTTCAGAAATGTTTGTGTGGCTATTCATGACATGAACACAGCAGACACATGGTTACCGACAATAGCATGACTGTTCATTTCCTTTTTGGGGACGACACCTTTCATAAGGAGACGGTATCTCTTCACTCCTGGTTTACTTCTGTTTGTACAAAAAGGCTGGAAGACGGGAACAAAGGTCTGTTTGGACAAATTCACTGTACTGTAACTTATTTTATAGTACTTTTCCTTGAAGGAAATTTAAAAAATAAACGCTTCCTGCTCTTTCAGTGTATTGTGTAGCTTTGAACAAATAGCACTTCAGTGTTTTTACATACAGTAAATGGAATAGATTTTTTGGCCTTGCCTCAAACAATTATTTACATAGAATGTTTGTAATCTGCTTTTATTACGGATGTTGTCTTTTTATGTTAAAATTACTTCATGTACTTTTCAATATATGGATGAACATATGAAACACTGTATTCAGATTTTTTTTTATGATGTATGAACATCTGCAGTGTTACCTCTTGTGAAGATAAAACTATTAAACCGCATCTCAACGCTTTGATTTTATCAGCTGCATACGTTCCAGATGCAGGCAATGCTTAGGGATTTAACTCGTGATTAGCCTCTGTATATTCTGCACACATTTTCTTCAAGTGTGTCACAATGTTACACGTGATTTTATGTAACCACAAAGGGGTGGTGATGACCCATTTGAAGTCTACACTTGCGATTCTTGAGAAGGCTCACCACACACAGGCAGCTGTGTCAGCTACTTATCTTGATACAACATCCTGTTTGAGCTTTTCCACACAAGCTGCCAGAAGCCAGGGAGAAGCAGAATGTGGTTCTATAACATTACAGTGCCGGTACATGTGTTACTAGTAAAGAACAGTGAAACGTGCACATTCTTATTCCCAAACAAAAGTGCCCACGCAGCCCTCGAGGCAAACCAGTCCCAGGTCTGTGCTTGTCTGTGGGTAACTGTCAGGATAAGGGCCAGCTTCATAGGCAGTGAATGCATTTCCCAGAGGATGAGTTTGTGATGCAGGCCAACACATTGTTGAGCTTGTTAGTTTCAGTACACTGTGGAAAATCAACATTCAGACTACACTTAATCAGTGACCTGTAGTTTTGTAATTAATGGCCTAAAACAGGCAAAACCTATGTGGTCCTTTAAGTTGAGCTAAGCTAAGTCAGCACCTTGTTTACCAGTAAAAACTACTAAGTTACAAAACATACTGAAAAATATCAATTTACCATAATTTAATACTAGATGTGGACCAGAAAAAAAGCATAATTGTGATGTGACAGAAAAAAGACCAAATACATCATTTAATACAAACTAAGATCTAAATGTCTAAACGTCTACCATGCATCAAGTGTCATAAAAATTTAATAAATTATGCATTGTATTATTGTCACTCTTCAAAACACAACACTAACTATCAGTTTGACAGCTGTTTGCATTAGATAGACTGTAATAAGGCAGCACGTACCAGGGACCATATCTGTCAATGTTTACATCTGGTAAATGAAACCCCTGCTGGTCTACTGGGTAAATATACAGTCAGACTATTCATCATATAGACTCTATATAATAACGAGTCCAAATAAAATGTGAAAAATCTTTCATTTACAAGAATACGTGTTCAAATTCTATGATATATGGATTTAAAGAAAAAGATTGTACCTGTCAGGTTGTGAAATTAACATTTCTCATGATGTCGTAGCAGGTGAAACGCTGAGGGGTTGATGTTAAAACATGCAGAGTGACGCACACAGGTAAAGTACAGAGAGCAGAAAGTCTCTATGTCTCCAAAGCAATGTTGGCACCTCACTGAGTTACGTGGAATTTAAAACTACTCATTACACTTGCGCAACATCACAGGAGGATGGGTCACACAGCATCCTTAACGTCACAGCAATTTACAACCTCTACCCAGTCGCACAACAACAACAACAAAAAATTTTTTTTAAATCCTGTCCACACTTCCCCGTTCAGCTCGGCAAGGACCAGGAGCTTTCCAGAGAGATGCGTCTGGATTCCAGTCTAGCTCTGATGTTTCTATATGGGGATGGACACAATGGTTGGTAGCTCCCCAATCGGAGGTGGTTTATATTTCTCAACCCTCATCAGCCGCCGCAGAATGTCATCCCGATCACGCGGCCAGCCATACACATGTGTGTTTTGAAGCCAGTTAGGGACATGACACTGGGATCACATATTAAAAGAAACGCACACACAGACAACAGAACGAGCAGATGGTGAGACTTAAGGTTTGTTAAGGACAAATCCTAATGCTGTTGTGACACAAAGTAATCTGCACTCTCTCTGCTGTTGTTGAGTATAAAACTAACCTTTTTAGCACCAGGGAACAAGATGGGAATGAACCTGAAATTCTTGCTTCCATTCTGGATGAACTCATTTTGGAGCTGAATAACATTAAAAAAAAAGGACAAGGAATCATAAAAGTCTCAAAAATGGCAATTTCAGTGCTGACTTTGGAGCAGAGGTGGACTCAGACCTGTTTGTGTATGTAGACTGTGTTGAAGGTCCTCTCGTCGTTCTCCAGACCAACAGGGGAGGCTGTCACTGTCTCGTAGTACTTAGGACTGATGATGATGATGATCAGGTACTCTTTCTGGGTCAGCAGACAACATAACCATGACTGATGATTACTGTCACTATGAATGAGCTGCTGTCATTCTTGTGCTACAATAACTGCTAGACAAAACACATTCCCTCTTATGGAAAGGAAAAGAGCTCAACATTAGCTTAAAAGGTGTTTTAAGGGGTTCATTATTTAAGTTATTAACCAGTTTTACCTCACTGAGGTACCGCTCCATGAAGTCTATCTTGCTTATACTCCTGAACTGCTGCTCAAAAATGTCGATCTGAAACAGACAAGTCAGAAAGTTGACACCCAACAGGCAGAGCTATATTTAGCAACCAGTCAAAATGTAGTTAAAGTAACACTTGACATCCTTTTTACAATATGCAACATATCTTTATGGCATAGACATAGAAGCGACAGATAGCCAAGGCTAGCATCACGTAAAGCTCCTTAACTATTATAAATAGGTCACCTTCAGTAAGGCAACATCTTGGTCACTGAGCTTGTTATCCCACATAAATAATGCAGATACTGAACAGCTAAACTAGTCCTGCCAGTACATAACTACCAGAAAATGCTTTTGACTCAAACTGAAATCACAATTTGGTGTGGTTAACAAGTTTTATAACATTATATTATTATTATGATGATTATTATTATAATCCCTGATGTTTTTACAAATGTTTGTGTCATAAAATAAAAAGCCCCTTCAGCTCTTCCAGTCTTACATAAGACAGTATGCTTGTTACTAAACAGTTACTGTGCTAGCACAACATTAAAAAACCCAATGTACATACGTGTGTATCAAAGCCATTGTGTCGCAGCAGAGCAACAAAGTTGATGATCTCATTGACGTGCTTGTCGTTGTCAGCTTCGTAAGTGACAAAGACCCTCCCTGTTTTCAATAGTAATAAACAGAAATAACGAAATGAGTGGACAGCAGCTCGGACGGTACCTTGATTTTCTAGGAAATCTACTGTAGTAGTTAACACTTACTCTGTTCCAGAGACAGTGGTGTACCATAAGGAGAGCGCCTCTCTTTAACTGGACTGTTGTAGCCACTGCATGGAGTTAAAGATTATTTTTAATTGCAGGTAGAAACATGCAACATGCTGTGGAAATCAAATGTGTAGTTACAAAACAAAAACCAACTCACCTCTGTGTGTGTCCAGCTCCAGGAAGTCTGCACTCACCTGGATTTGAAGCAATAAACACAGAGGTCAGAAAAATCTCTTATTGCCTTTCTGCTTATGATATTGTAGCATGATGAACAGAACACTAATGTAGTGCTCATGGTATTTATTGTGACTGATGCACTGTGTCAGACTTACGTGGGCTGTGCCCTGGGTGGTACTGAGGCCAGGGGTATTTGGGGGCCATAGGCCCCCTGTTGAAGGTGTCTGCGGGGCACTGAGCACAGCAGACTGCTCCCTGGGGTGAGCATGAGTACGGAGGCAAGGTATGGTGACCTACTGAAGGTGGGTTGGAGTGCAGAGAGAGCGGCTGCTCTAAACTGCTTTCATTGGGGCTGTGTCTGCCAGGAAGGGACAGGAACTTGTAGCCGGAATAGCAGCTCTCTCCAGAATAAATGGAGTAATCGTTTTGGCTCCAAGAGGATGGCAGGCTGTTGGGATACACCGATTGGCTGCTGGCTGTGCTCGGGTGGAGCCAGTGCCCTTCACACTGGCTGGGGAATGGAGTGGGCTGGCTGTAGCCTGGCAGGAAGCTGCTATGCACCTGGTAGGAGCAGTAGCTCAGGCCAGACTGGGAGAGAGCAGGGTTGTGGTTATGTTCCTGCATCATCTGTCTGCTGAACAGAGAATCATCATCGTGCTCTGGAAGAGGGCGGTGGTCATCATGATTTGGGGCGGAGTCTGTCTTGTGGACAACGATGGCTTCTCTTTGCTCCGTGCTCATGGTTTCATCATCCTCTTCAGGTGTGTTGTGGTGGCTGCTCAGGTATCTGCTCAGCTGGCTGACGTGAGTGTGAGCACAAGACCTTTAGTCACATCAACAGGTAAGTGAAAGTTGTTCAGGACCACCAAGATCTAGTGGAGCTGCTATTTCACACAAGTTGTATTTTCTCGTGTGTAACAGTTGGCTCTGTTTTTAATCACTTCTTATCACAATTAAACTGCATCAGTGTGAACAAGTCTGGATATAACCATAGTGTCAGAAAGGCAGCATTCTGTACCAACAGTGTCTGTTGTCCTGCTCACCTATTTGGTGCTAAAGCCGAGTAGACTGAAGAAGGCAGCATCATTGGGCCTCCTCCTCCTGAAGTCCATGTGTGTCAGGTTTAAGCTGCACCTGAAATTCTGTCAAGGACAAGTGTCATTTTAAAAAAAGGATGAACAAAAGTGGCCACAGTACATTAAGAGATTCATAAAGCAAACTTCATATAACAGCCCACACTTGCTGATCTGCATGAAAGCGCATTCAGTATATGACGGCATGTCACCCACACAGGGGACTTTTCTCTAATACACAGGTGACAAATTAATGCACATGTGGGAATAAAAAAAAAAACAATGACTGTCACTGACAGGAGGGAGACTGATGGAAACTCAAACCACAAAACTTCCAAAAGATAAGTAACGATACGCTTGATTAATGGCACAAAACTATTTCATTACTTATAACGTCCACATTTCCTACAGACAGTAAACGCACTGAAAGGCCTGTAAACTGCTTTCAGAAAAGTAATGACATAAAAAAAGTGAACAACTTACACAAAAGTTATTTTTCATACTTTTAACACATTTAGCAAAGCCAATATGAATTCAGGTCTGGTTAACATCGGGTTAGGTGGCTCTAACCTTATACCCGATAGTTCCTGTAAATGTAAATGTAAATACACGCTCTATCATAGCGCCTTTGTGGTCGCACGCTTGTTGTTTGCACTTTCCACCGTGTGACTGGAGCTGATCCAGATACGGCCTCCGTCTGACTTCACTTCTCACACTTTTACCTGGACGAAGTGTTAAGCTCTCAGGACATTAAACATTAGACATTTCATAAGCCGTGTAGCCTACAAGCCAGAAGTTGCTAAGATCCCTTCACACCTGCTTCAGTCCGAAGTTGAACTTTATCATTAGAAAAAGATTAAAACCAGGGTTTAAAAATGACTGTTCACTCACGCTTCTTGTTTTGTTAAAGGCTTTAAAATCCGCCTACACATACTGGTTCAACAACACAGGCCTAATTATTAGAGAACATGACCAGGTAACCTGCTGTGTACATTTACCCCACGTCAACTCACCGTCGCTGCGTCAACTTCTCAGTTCCCCCACAGGTGTCGGCCTCCTGACGACACGGCCACCGTCAAACATTTACATTAAGGCTACAACACACTTGACTACTTTTTGTGAAATATAAAGTGACAGCGGTGCTTTCTGTCGCGTCGCCAAGAAGGATGAAAAGATATTGACGCAACGGATACGTTTGTTCTTAGTTTGCCGCTGAGCAGCACCGCCCCCCCGGCAAACCGCACCTCCCAACCACCGTGTGTGCGCGCGCGCTGCACTTCCTCCCACCCACACGTGCACGCTGGGTTTATTACTGTTGATTTATTACACAACCGCTGGTTGATTAGTGCTGCAAACTGTATCCTGGCACAAGTGTCAACACAGCAGAAGAGACACGTGTTCGTCCATTTACTCTTTATTCCATTTTTAAATCAACCATTACAAACTGCTTTAACAATGAACACGTTTCACCAAGCCACCCAAAGCTCATTCAAGCTCTGGTTAAAAGGAGAATTTTAAAAAAGAGATTAAAACTAATGAATCAAGGTGTTAAGTGAGCAGATGTATGAATTGGGCAGTGTTGACTTTTCGTTGTTTGGAGAAGCAGGACTCCAGCCAGGTCTTCTGCACAGGGACAGCCTGGGAGTACTGACGCACCAGGTCTTGGAGCTCCTGGTCCACACAAACCATGCAGCCAAAGTAAACATGA